TTTAAGTTCATTGTTAATCTTTTTAAAAGTATTAAAATATCACTTCAAATTTTTCTTTTTCACAGTTTGCTCTTTCTCCAGGTTTGTTTTGTTGCGGTAGTCTCTGACGGGAATTAGGGTTTTTTATGTCACTAGTGTGTCAAACGAAAACGACTCTTTACATGCACGTCATTACTGTTGGTTGGCAATTCTGCATCCAAGTCTGCATCCTCTTCAACGTAAATAAAAATCTATTCACGTCATTTGGCCAGGCCTGCTGCTCGAGTAACCCCAACTTCCTCGCAGGCAACCCTTACACCGAGTCTTTCATCCCAATAAGGTTGAACATTGCTCCTTCGGGGGAGTACAATTTCCGCTCTGCATTAAGACCTGTCGCTTTTCTGGCCTTCAAGTTTTGAGCCGCACGTTCTTTTCATCAGTCCACACCTTAAAGTAAAATGTGTCGCATCTTACTGGAAAAGAAGTTTTGCATTCCATTCCGCAGTATCTTTCATTGTGATGCCAACTTTTCCACTGGAAATTTTTCCTCATTTTCAAAGATTATTTAGAATACGAAAAAAGGGAAAAGAGAAAAGATCCGCAAAATTTATTATTTATTACAGGAGAAGAAGAAAAGTAAGAGATCTGGCTGAATAATCTGCAAATTCTGTAAAGGGTGGAATAAGGGCAACAACCGTTAGGCAACGTACACTTTGCATATTGTTCTGGAGGCGAAGAAGTTCGTAACAAATGTGTACTAAAAAAATCGACACAGTTTGCAACTCTGTGTACTATTCTGCATTCCTTTTTATTTTTATACCTTGTAATACGTTCTTATGTTTGAATAAAGTTAATCTTTAAATAGTCCTCGGAACTTTAGGTTATAGTGATTGCGAATAGTAAATAGAAGTGGAAGTGTATTATTTAAAGTAATGGGTGGTGTAAGAATTGAGCCACTAAACGCGGAGAACTACGATTCGTGGAAATTGCAAATGAGAGCAATTTTGATTAATAATTATTTGTGGGGTTTTGCAGATGGCTTCATAGTGAATCGCTGAATGGAAGCTGCTTGACCAAGGAGCATCAGCGGATATCACGTTGGCGATTTCATCACCGGAACTAAGGCTCATTGAATAGTGTTTTACTGCACGGGAAATTTTGTTAAGGTTGGAATCAACATTTCAATCAAAAGGGCCGGCACATATATCGATTTCAATAATGTCGAAGGAGGAGACGGTGCGCGATAATCTCAATGCATTTTTCGATGCTGTCGCTGAGTTGAAAGAAATAGGCGCCGCAGTTGGCGACGAGCTGTTATCTGTTTTGTTGTTGTACAGTCTGTCAGCGTCATATGAAACATTAGATGTGCAGTCGAAACGCGAGACGAACTGCCGAAGCCAAAAGTGCTTTGCGTAAAATTACTTGAAGAATATGAGTCGCGCAAAGCAAAAGAAGACACAGAGAATGATAATGCAGAATATAGGTTATTGCATAATTTTTTACTAAAATATCGTTATGAACGGTCGTATATAAATATGTATATGATAAAGAAAAAAAATTTTTGTTTGAGGACTACGAAAATATGTCTAAAACTTTTAAAATTTGATTAATATTTTTCCTTCGCAAAAATATCGTTATATTTTGAGTTGAATTTATCGCTTTTAAAAAAATTGTTGTTTGATAACAGTTATTTATTAGTAACAGAATAACAGTTACGCGAACTACAATAACGTAAGCTTTTTTTTTGGCCTCGACAACTAATACTCTCACGCTAAGTTAGAATTTTTCATCAAAGCATAACAGTAACATGATAAATACTACTTTCAGATCAAAGAGCTCAGTAAATATAACTCTCTCTCGATTTTATAACACCATTTCAAACAGATATTGATTTTCAATTCCGATAAATAAGGAATTCTGTGTCGGTTTCCATAACAGCTCTGAATTATTTATGGGTTTGTGCTGTTGCGAAAATGCGTTCTAGAAACGATAAAACAAGAACCTTCCATAGCGAACAATTCGATGCTTCCACGCTTTCGTCTGCGAGCAGCCGACTGCTATATAAAGGCGACACTCAGCTGCAAGTCAAGTTAGTGATAAAGTAAACTCGTTGGCGTTAACATCAGTAAAGTCGTAAAGTAAACACGTTGGAGAGTACATTTAAGTAGAGTGAATTGTGCAAGTTGATGATAGTGATTGTAAATAGTAGAGTGTATTGTAATTGTATTGTGAATTACGGAGTAAATAAAAGACATTAGATAAA